CCCCCGCAGCACTATGTCCCCCCCACGTAAACCCCTGAGACACAGTCAGCCCCGGGATGGAGCGCAGCCTGGGCTCCCTGGGGACCCCACTGCTGAGTGTCCCCCCCTGCCCCGGGACCAGGACCTCCTTCACCTTCCACTTCCTCCGAGCATTGAACTTGCGGAAGTTTTTCATGTTGATGGAAGAACGGCTCCGGTTTGCCACCTGCTTCCGGCTCAGGGGCTGCCAGGGGCAAGGACACGACGTCGTCACCGTGCCCCCATCCTGCTCCCAGGGGTCCGGCACCCACCACCCCTGCCCATCCCTCTCACCTTGATCCAGGGATGGACCAGGCACTCAGCCGCCGTCATGCGGTGCCTGCAGCACAGAGGGATGCAGCGGCGGGGGCAGTGGGGGTCCCGGCGCCATATGTCCACCACAGGGATGGGGATGGGATGGGATGGCGATAGGATGGAGGGGGGATGGGGATTGGGATGAAGATGGGGATGGGTATTGGGATGGAGTCTCACCCTGGCTCCTTCACCAGCAGCTGCCGGATGAAGTCCTTGGCCATCTCGGAGGTCTGGCTGAAGCAGCGCTCCTCGAACTCATAGGTGCCAGCTACAACGTTGGAGAGGGTCTCGGCGTCCGTCTCACCCTGGAAGGGGGACAAGCCGCTGAGCCTGCGGGGACATGACAGAGCCACTGAGTGCCGGAACAGCACCGGCTCGGCCACCCCAGCACCCGGGCTTGGCCATGTCGTGGTGTCCCCATGCCTCAGTTTCCCCTGGCCACAGGGAGCATCGGCCCATACTCACAGGATGTAGGTGATGACCCCAATGCTCCTGAAAGGCAGAGGTGGGGGTCAGGTGCTGCCCTCCCCAGGGTCCCCCCTGTGCCTTGTGGCACCCAGGGGGGTCCCTACCCACCCACCCCCGGCTCAGCCCATCACCCCCAGGTCCCTGCTCCTCACCACATGTCGGTTGCAGAGCTCAGCGGCTCATAGTTGATCACTTCGGGAGCTGAGGGTGAACACAGAGCCGGAGAGGGGACAACATTAGAGGAGATAGCACCATCCCGGCCACCTCTCTCCCTGCAGACCTGGGGGGGTCCCTTCCCCACCATGGGGGTCCCTTCGCCGCATCCCCACAGAGCATCCCAGCTGCACTCCACAGAGCAGGGCTGCTTGGGGACCCCCTGGGGACCAGCCAGCCCCATACCGATGTACTGTGGGGTCCCGCAGAGGCTCTTGAAGGTGACGCCATCCTCCAGGTGCTGGGCCAGCCCAAAATCAATGATCTTGATCCAGGGCTTGGGGACATGCTTCTCCTGCAGCATGATGTTCTCGGGCTGCAGGGACGAGGTCAGGCATGGTGGGGTGATGGGGGTGGTGCCGGGCTCTGCCACCAGGCACTGCCCCGACAAGGGCAGCAGCATCCTGGGAAGGCGGGCAGCATGCGGCCAGGGCTCTGGAGATGCCCAGCGGGGGGGATGCAGCCCCTGGATCCCCCAAGGGGTGAGGATGGGGGGGTCCCCGCGGGCACCTTGAGGTCAAAGTGGGCGATGTGGTGGGCGTGCAGGTACTCCACCCCACGCAGGATCTGTACCAGGAACTCGATGGCCTCCTCCTCTGACAGCATCTCCTTCTCCGCAATGAAGTCAAAGAGCTCCCCGCCGCTGATCCTGCACGGGGCGAGGATGGGGTGAGCTTAGCCACCTCCAACACATGGTCCAAAAGGGGGTCCTCCCACTCTGGGACCCCCACTTACAGCTCCAGGATGAGCACCATCTCGGCTTTGCTGACGAAGAGGTCGTGAAGCCGCATGATGTTGGGGTGGTCGAGCTGACGGAGGATGGTGACCTCCCGCTCCACCTGCGCCCGCTCCAGCCCCAGGCGACTGCCCCGGCATCGCCGCGTCTTCACAAATTTTGCGGCATAGAAGGTGCCGGTGCTGCGCTCCTGGCATCGCTTCACCACACCAAAGTGCCCGCTGTGGTGAGAAGCCAGGCTGGGACATGGCCGGGTTGCCCCCCACACCAAGGCAAGGGAGAACCCAGGCATCCAGCTGCCTCCAACGACCCCATGCAGGCAGGATCCCTGCCCGCACCCCTGCCTGCACCCCCACTCACCTGCCCAGCTTCTCCAGCAGCTCGTACAGGTCCTCCACGTTGCCTGGGCTGAGGGCAGCCGCCAGCCCCTCGCTCCCTGCAATCCCCGCAGGACTGGCTGTATCCTGAAGGGATGCACCGGGACCCAGCTCAGCTGCTTGCCTTCCCCGGGGTGCAGTGATGTGCCGGATCTGCCCCGTGCAGGGACCCCCATCCCATGGAGAGCACCACAACCCACCTCCTGCACTCACTAGAGGGGATTCTCTGGTGTCTAATACTGTGGTTAAGCTCGGGCCCTGGCCAACTATCCCGGTTCACATTAAACTCTTCAGCACGTCAAACTTGGAGACCTTCACCCCTTGATCAGGGCGGGCAGGAGCTGCTCATGGGGCTCAGAAATCAGGCAGGGGCAGGCAGGGAGGGGGGTCACACCAGCCCCTGTGGCCCCCACTGTGCTGGGGAGGATCAGGAGTGCAAAATGCAGAGTTAAAACTAACATTGCTGGTGGTTTCTTTTTAAAAAAAGGGCATTAATAGTGGATAAAACCACCACCGTGAACTTATCTGTGAGGATCCCACCTGGTCATCCCCTCCAGCTCCCAGGCAAGGGACCCGGCATACATAGCCCCAGATCTCAGCCCCTTGGCCGCAGCTCACCTGGGTACTGTCAGGGGTGTCCCCTGGCTCCCCCTCAGCCAGGACCCCATCCCGGCTGCCCTCGGCCATTACTGCAAAGACAAGAAGGCACCAGGTGAGGGGGAGAGGGGCTTTGCGGGGACAGCACAGCCCCACGGAGGGCTCTGCTGGGCCAGTGCCCTGCCTGCACCCTGTGGTCCTGGCAGAGTCCCCCCCCAGCTCATTACACTGATGGGCAGGGCACACTAATTAGGGGGGCAGCTCTTGTCCTTTGCAGCTCCAAGCCACAAACCAGCCTCTTTTGGCTGCCGGCTCATGCGGCAGCAGGCAAACACCAGGGTCTGAACCCCTGTGCCTCAGTTTCCCCAGCTGTAAGATGGGGCTAGTGGTGCTCCAGTGGTCAGGAGAGCCAGGACCAGTGGCTTTGCAGGGATGCGGAGAAGGGGAAATGTGAGCTCCAAGCCCCACCTTGGGGCCCCCTCAATGTCCCCAGGACTGTGTTGCTGGGAGCGAGAGGTTTCCTGGACTGGTGCAGGCAGGGGGTCCTGGCTATGGGTTTTAAGGCCACCGGGAAAGGGATAAGGAAGGTGATACCAGCCAGAGGTGGGGTCCTTCCTGCAGGAAAAAAACAGCTCGATAAGGGAGCACAAGACCCCAAGATGTCAATCCCCTCCCAGCCGCCTGGATCAGCTTTATGTCAGCAAAAAGGATGATGGGGCCTGATCCTGCACAGGTGCCCCAGCAGCCAGATGCTGCTCTCCAGCCTGTGCTTGGCACGCCAGAGTTTATCCCTCCCAAAGCCAGGGTGCACCCACTGCAAGGGGTTCGCTCCCCCTGCTCCTGGGAGGATTTGAGCATTGCCCCCTCTCCATGAGGCACCCCAGGACCCAGGAGCCCCCCAGGGGACTGTCCTCGGGATCAGACCCACATCACGCTGGTTGCACGCAGCCCTGCCAGCGTGTCCCCATCCACACGGGGTTGTGCTGCCCCGGTGCTTGCACCAACCAGTGGCCAGGACCCCTCCTGTCCCCCCACGATGGCCCTGAGGGACAGTGAGTGGTCCCTGAGCCCAGTCCCTCCTTGCTCACCCCTGCTCCCAGTCCAGCTGTGCCCCCTTACCCTCCTGAGCCTTCCTCCGTGCCCAGCCGAGCTCTCCCTCGCTCCCCAGCCAGCCAGGACAGGGGACAGCCCCTGCCCACGGTGACAGTCCTGTGGCACCCCCAGGCTCAGTGGGGAGCACCCGGCCAGGCACCGCTCGCCCCTGGCACCGCATGGAGCCAGCTGGTCTGCAGGCTGGTACGTGCGTGGGGGCGGCTGCAGCTGAAGCTGGGCCACCGTTCCCGGCACGTGACACATCCACAGGGTCCAACGCACCGTCCCGGGGTCACAGCATGTCTGTTTGTCCCCTGGGGATGGACACACGCAGCCGATCCCCGCCATCCCTCACCGGACAACCCCCTCGCACTGCGCTGCCGAGCTGCTTTTGCAAGGAGGGAAACTGAGGTACGGGTGGCCCCACGTCACTGCGGCCACAGCTGAGCTCACGGCTGCAGGGTGGCTGGAGCTGTGGGGGGTTGCATGCTGTCCCACCACGTCCCGCTGCCAGTCAGCCCTCTGCCGGGAAAAACGGCCCAGACTCAGCTGCGTGCTGGGACTGGGCTGGGCTGGGCAGGGCAGCCGTGCCAAGCAAACACCCCAGCATCGGTCAGCCGGAAAAGGGACTCCAGGCAAAATGACCTCGCAGGTGGCAGCAGCTGCTGCCCAGCACGCAACTACCAAAAAGCGCTGCAGGACCCCAAAACTCCTTGATCCCTCCAACCTGCACCGGGACAGACCCCAATCCTGGCACGCCAGGGGGAGCCGGCACCCCTTACCTCCACGCGAGGGCCCGAGCCCCCTGCACCACTGTGCACAGCTCCAGCCTTCCTCCAGCAAACCCCAACAGTGCCAGGCTTTTCCTCGAAGTCTCGGCGTTTCCCAGGGAGCCGGGGCAGGACCTGGCCACTGGCCGACTGTCTCAGAAGAAGAAAAGCTCTTTGCGTTCCTCCTCCCAAGGTCTCTTGAGAAATCCCCCCACGCTGTCCCCGTGGCCAGCTGCAGAGAGGAGCTGGAAAAGGCCTTTTAGGGGCAATTCCTGGCGTTTCCAGTGCCTCGGCTCCTCGAGGAGCAGCCAGGACCTGGTGGGATGAGCCGCTGGCGGCCCATGTCCCCCTGGCCGATGTCCCCCTGGCCGACGTCCCCCGTAAGCGTGAGGATTGCAAACAGGAAACCTTGCTGAGAGATAAAAATATTGTACGGCGGCTGCCGGAGGGGAAGCAGAGCGGAGGGTGTGAAGGTAGCAGGGAGGGACAGGTTTCTTAAGGTGGAGAGAGCCGGGGCTGGCACTGCACCGTGTGCCAAAGGGGTGCTAGGGGGCACCGGGCACCATCCCCAACCTGGGGCTTGCAAAGTCACTGCCTGGTGCACCTTGTCCCTGTCCTGGTGCCATGGATGAGCTGGCCCCAGCCATAATTCCTGCCCTAATCCCTAATGTCTGCAACCTCTGGCATGCAGCTGGGTTGGCACCACTCTCGCCATAGGGCCAGCCGGAGCCTGGCACCGCCGAGAGGGAGAGTTGCGGCTGGCGTGCGGCAGAGTCAGTGCTGGCAGCTAGGCTGCTGCATTTCCCAGCTGGGCTCACCTCCCCCTTTTGCCATGCCTCCAGCATGTCCCGGGATGTGCCCGGCTCCAGCAGCCAGTGGGGAGAAAGACACTGCAGCCGGAGCATGAGGAAGAGAAGTGGTGCCAGATCTCACCGTGCCAGGAACCGAATCCCGGCCCGTGGCATAAGCCTCAGCCAGCTGAGCCCCCCTGCCCCTTGCACCTGGCTGCATGAGATCCCGGGATGCAGATGGGAAGAACAAAGAGCCTTTTTGCAGATGCAGACATGCCGGCGGGGCGGGTGGCCGGAGCCCTCTCCTTGCCACAGCCCAGCCCATGCTGAGGGTGCCAGTGTCACCTGGGTGTCACCCCAGTGCCACCCCATTGCCCCATGCCGCCTTCCTGTGACGTCTCCCCATCACGCGAAGGCTCTTGCGGCATCGGTCGCCGCTTCCTGCCCTTCACAGGCAGCAGAGGTGCGAGTGCAGGCAAGGCGGCAGCGCTGCCTGCCCTGCCAGCCTGCCCCGTCCCGTCGGCACTGGCTATGGACTCTCGGGTCACTGCGTGGCCGGACAGAGGTAGGTGCCTGGGCTGGAGGATCAGGGCTGGGGTCTGTCGAGGCTTGTATTTGTACCAGGGTGGGAGGAAAAAGACCAAGAAACAAACCCTGTGCAGGGGGACTCAGGACGGGCAAGCGCCGAGCAATGTGGGGATGCTCGGGGTGCTCCCCCCATCCAAATACATGACAGAGAAGGGGCAGAGGACAAGGGGATGTGGAGAGAGGGAGCGGCGTCCCCTGCCTACCTCAGCCCTTCCAGCCAGGTCTTACCCCCTTCAAAGGGGGAAATCCAGGCCAGAAAGGTCTCATGGAACAAAGCCGGGCTTTAACCCGTTTCAAGACCGATTGCACACATTGTCACCCCAGGAGCGGGGCGTTTAAGCAGCACATCCCGCGTTGGGGAGCAAAACCACCTGAGCAGCCTCTCCGAGGCCAAGGTGCTGGGGTGGGGAAGCAGGGATGAGCCCCCCACCTCCACCCAGGACCCCTACCCGGCTGGGGGATGCACCACAAGCTGGGGACCATGACGTTGTCCCCAGCTGCTTGGCCATGCCTAGGCAGGACCTGACCCAAATTCGCCTTCCTGGCGCTCCCCATGTTGGTTTGCTGCGGTTTGGGTTGTTTTGTTTCGCTTTGTCAACAAGCTCCCTACCCTCCCCTGCCTTCCCCTGCCCATCCCTGCCTGCCGTTGTGCAGGGACAGGCTGGGTGCTGCAGCCGGTTAAAGGTGGAGATGAGGTGCCATCCATCCCCGGTTCTCCCCATCCCCCCCAGCTGGGTCCCCCCACTCTTGGATGAGCCTCAGCCGGCTCCTCTGACTCAGCTTTGCCTCCCGGATCGAACCAGCCCCGGCCTCTTCCACCCCCTCAAGCATCTGCTAGGGATTAACGTTGTTTTGCCAAGCGTTGGTGGCTCGGGGCCGAGCTCGGGGTCCCTCGGCGGCCGCACGCAGAGCTTCATGCCCGCTGCCTCGCTCCCCTTCCTGGGCCTGATCTGACACCCTGGGGACTTTTGGGGGCTGGGGGATTCACACGCTTTCCCCTCTCTTCCACCCCACCCAGCTCACCGGTGCACGGGGCTTTTCTCCTCCGGGGTACAAGGGTCATTGTCCCTTCTCACTTCCAGGGTGGTCTCCCTTAGGAGAGGCAGAGTGATGAGCCCCAGGATGGAGGGCACAGGTGAAGGTGCCCCTCACCCAAGCCATGGGCAAAAGCAGTGCTTTGAGGGGGGAGGGGTGTCATGGAACCCCCCCCACATGCTGGTGTCCCATGGGCAGCGATGGGGCACAGGGCCAGCTCGGGGCCCCAAGGGAGGCTTCGCTGCCCTGAGCCCATTTCTCCTTGCTCCCTGGTACAGGGGACCCCATGGATGACCACCGTCCCCTCTTCAGCACCTTCAAACCCATCAGCGAGGACAACATGGCCAGTGCCAAGCCAGGACCCGACATGACCCTGGTCCAGCCCTGGGGAGAAGAGCAGTCCCTGGGACACCAGGACACACACAGTAGGGTAGGACGTGGGGCTGCGATGGGTCCATCCCCCTCAGCTTGCCATCCCAGTGCCCCTGAGCTCACACACCTGCAGGGACCCTGTCCTCTTGGGCTACATCAGGAGCCCTGTGCGGGGAGCAGAGCACATCTTCACCTGAGCCCCCAACCGCTCTCCCCTTCCCTCCAGGTCCCAGCAAGCTCCTGGCCATCCCCACCAGGCTGGTCCCCACAGGCAGGGAACCCGCAGCCAGAGCTGGTGGCCCTGCGTGCCCGGACAAGGCTGTGGTTCGAGCAGACGCAAGCCAGGAGGCTGGGGGCTGAGGGTGAGCTCCCAGCCTGGTTCCACGGCTTCATCAGCCGGAGGTGAGCGGGAAGGGGAAGCCAAGGTGGGGGACAGGGTGGCCCCTTCAGCATCCCCAGCCCTGGGCTCCAAAATAAGGAGCTGGACCCCTGGATCCCATGAAAGGGGTGATAGCGAGTGGCTCCGGGCCCCTTCCTGCAGGGATACGGAGCAGCTGCTGCAGGATCAGCCCCCAGGCTGCTTCCTGGTCCGCTTCAGCGAGAGCACTGTTGGCTTCGTCCTGTCCTACAGGTGAGGGACCCCCGGCCCTGTCCAAGGGACCGACGTGCTCGGTCCCCTTCCTGCCCTCTGTGCTTACCCCATCCCCTCTCCCCCAGGGGCAGGGATCGCTGTCGGCACTTTGTCCTGGACCAGCTGCCGGATGGGCGGTATGTGATCCTGGGGGAGCAGAGCGCCCACGCCGAGCTGGCTGACCTGCTGCAGCACTATGCTACCGCCCCAGTCACGCCGTACCATGAGTTCCTGACGGTGCCACGCAGACGGGTGAGGACCTGGCCCCTCGTTAGTCCCTGCAGCCAAAAAAATGGAGTCATTCCTGCTATACAAATGGGGGTGGGATTTTCCCAAGCTGGGAAAATCAAAGGCAAGGGAAGTCCAAGCATCACGAAAGCCGGGGTTGGAACCGGAACCACCCAGGCCAAGGTGCAGCATCCCAGGTGGGAGCGAGGAGCCGAACCGTGGGCAGCGCACCCGAGGGGGGACCAGTGCCCGGCTGGGTCTGTCCCAGACCCTGCACCTCTTTCCTCTTGTTGCAGGAAGATGAGCCCCAAGGACAGACGCAGAGCCCAGCCAGCAGCGATGCTGTGCGTTCCCAATCGAGTGAAGCACCACCAAACCTGCTGGTGTACAGCACTGTCTTGAAGGGGTCCCCGGGAGCAGCCCCCCCACTGCCTGCAGAGCCCAGCGCCAAGGGAAGCTCATCCAGGGAGGTAAAGGCAGGGCAGAGGGGATGGAGGCACCTTCCCAAGGACAGAAGCCACAGCCTGGCCACAGGTCTTGCGAGACTGGGGGATGCAGCCGGGGTGGGGGAATTCCAATTCCAGCCCTCACCTCCAACCTGTCTCACCTCTTCCACAGGCTCTCAGCATCCCCCCACCACTCCCAGCCAAGGCCAGCTCCTTGGCCACAGCTCAGGGGCCGCACAGCCCCGCCAGTGGTGGAGCAACTCCCTACGCTCAGGTGCACGAAGAAGCCATCCTGTCCGAGCTGCTTGATGCCAAGTACCAGCAGCTCATGTGCTTCCACACCTACGCTGAGCCCCATGAGGACACTGCACGCAGCCCTTCCACCAACTACGAGCCAGAAGAGCTCATTCCCTTCTATGCCATGGGACGGGGCTTGAGTCCCAGCACTGGCCCCCAGGAGAACATCTACTCTGAGGTGGCGCTGGCCCGGCAGGATCTGCCCGCTCTGCTTTCCCAAGGGACCCATGGTGCCTTCTCCACACTGCCCTCCAAATCCCGTGCTCACCGCCGGCTCTTCCGCAGCGTATCCAGCCAGGTGTCCAAGAGGCGGCAGCTACCGGCAGTTCCCACTGCAGACAAGAAGGAGAGAGGAGCCTCCAGCCGAACCGCGGAGGTGCGTTCCCCATAACAGATCATGTTGTAGAGCTGCTCATTGCTCTAGAGCTCAGTCCCAACTCAGCGAGACCTCCTGTAGAGTCTGGTGGGCAGGGGTTTGCTCCAAATCACGGTCACAGGGGGAGAAGGGGGTTCCCTGCTCACAGCTGCACGCTGGAGCGATGGTCTCCAACTCACAGCCAAAGCAGGAGCAAAGTTGAATGCTGGGAGGGTGAAGGACCAACTTTTAACCATATCCTGGCTCTCAAGTCAAACCTCCACCCAATAAAGCATGATCTCATAGCCGTTTCCCTTCAACCTCTCCCCACAGATTCCCCAGGACACAACGAACCCTCCGCTCAAGTTCAGTGATCCCGTTTACAGCCGGAGGACGAGTGCCGCAAAGCAAGCCACGGCTGCAGCAGGGCAGGAGAGCCCTGAGAACATTTACGAGCAGCTTTCGGGACAGCATCTCTAAGGCACCCACACAGGTAGGTCTAAGACAAGGGCCAGTTCCTGGCTCCCAGGCAGAAGGAAGCTCTCCAGCTCCTTCACTGCTAAAGGAAGCCCTTGGACCTGGAAGGAGAGGTCCAAGGCTACAGTTGGCCCCTCCACAGATAACCAGCACCCTAGCAGCATCAGCGATGCCAGTCCACTCCATGCTGGGATTCCCACGCCCTTCCCAAGGCAGCAGCCTGCTTCCCAAGCTCTGCGAGACAGTTAAGAGGGGAATGGATTTAATTTATCTTTGAACACATTCAGAAAGCGATTTCTATTAATAGAACAAGGGTGGAAAAGGCCATTACAGTAAAATTAGAGATGGGTTTCAGGCATGGCTGGTGCATCCAGAGTCAGCTATTAAATTGGCCACAAGCCAGAGCGACGCCACAGCCTGGCAGGCAGGGCCACACCAAACCTCACGAGCCCAGCGCTGACATTTCCAAGCCCTGCGCATTGCCTCAGCCACAAAACACAAGATAGCACCAACCCCGAGGAGCAAATTTAGCTGCAGGGTTGGCGACACCAACCCTGGTGCTGCCCAGCAGCGTGTAAATCCCCAGCCTTGTCGTTTCTTCTGAAACGACACCAAGGCGATGTCATTCTCACCACAGACAAGGTGTGCCCAGCCTTAAACAGAGCAGAAAGCATATGAGGACAGCCAAAGCCCCACACTGGGATGTGTTAGAGCTTCAAGACAGGGAGGGAAAAGGAGGGCTGCAGGGTTGGATTTGTTTTCTTTTACCTCTCTGAAGAAAAACTCACTTTCGCTTTTCACAAGCCTACTTTTTCTTCCTCTTAAATGGCTAAAAGCAGAGCGCAAGTCAGCCACGATTCCCGCCCTCGTAACTCCCCTCTAGTGCTAAAAATGAGCCATTACAAACCAAAATAGAAACAGAAAAGGGAAACCCATGAGCTTCAGCCTCCCTCTCGGCTTGCTCCAGGACTCCACCAAGGCCACTGAAGAAGAGTTTGGGAGCAGAGGGTCTGCCAGAGGATGGAGTTTCCTTGCCCAACAGCAGCTGCTCTGCCTTCGATGCTGCAGCAAAGCCCTCCAGCATCGCCACCGGCTCTGAGCTGGGAACACTGAGGGCAAGGCTTGGCGTTTTAAACTGATGGATCCACAGTGGTGAGCACAACTCACTGCTGGGATTCGCACCCCAGATGGGCTGCGCGTAGCAAACTCCCCTCAGACAAGAGTTTTGTCACCGGCTGTGCAACAGCATCCATTCTGCGAATAAACTAAGGCAGCCATCACCAAAACACGGGCTGCCACAATGGTGCTTCAGCCTTGCCAGGGAGGGGAGAAGGAAAACCAATGCCTCGAGCAAGGATTTGAGCACCTCGCGACGGAAACAGGTGTGGTTCGGTTCATTTAAAAGTTTATTCCTTTATCAAATCTCTTTTCAGAGGATTTTGCTGTACATATAACATATGAATAAATTACTCAACAGTAACTTTATTCTGGTCATTCAAATACTCAAAATGGGCTCTGCAAAGTACTAAAACATCCAGGGAACTAAACTAGAAATCAGATTATTTTAAAATATTCTAAGAAAAGACTTCATTCATGGGGGTTTGTTTGCTTGTTTTTAACAGGTAACATGGGAGAAAAACAACCTCTTGGGAGTTTTTCTAAATGGAATAACAAATATTAGCTGTTTTAGCTGCAGTTACAACAAATATAACCCTTAGTGGTGGGAATGTAAGTTAAATAACCAGACCAGCTCTCTGTTCCCTTCAGCATCACGCGCTTTGGTGAACAACAAACTAAGTGAGGGCACAGAGATTTGGCTAAAGATACATGGATCTGGCCAGCAAGGCTGCACATGATTTGCAGTCATATCACCTAGATCTAATACCTTAAATAAAAGAAAGATTTCATTTTAAAAAGTTAAGGCCGGACACAGTTTCTTCTTCCCAGCCAGGAGGGTAAAGTTAACGCTTAATTGAACAGAATTGATACAAACAAGCTGGAGGAAAAATAAAATTGTACAGTTGGCAGCTTTCATCTGTGTCTGCTCAGAGGAAATACTGCTGCTTCACTTGCTGAGCTCACTGCCAGCTGCACCGCACCGTGACGCTGGCAATACTCAGTCCAAGGAGTCTGGGGAGCAGCCTGGTACAGCACTGTAGGCCTTGGGTCAGGGGGAGGAGGAGGAGGAAAGAAGGGAAAAAAAGGAAGAAAAATGTACATACACACATTGATCACGTTTATCCAAAAGCCCTCAGCAGCACCTCGTACTGGGCAAGAGATCCTCCCTGCTTTTTGTGCGTTCCACACTCGGGGCATTTCCACCTCTATTGCAAGCTCTGACCTGTAAAGGAGTTTCCCCTCAGCGTGGTTCGAGACATACAGGCCGGTGGAGCTGAGAACAAAAACACTACCTCAGCCACACTTAGAAAAAAAAAAAAAAAAAAAAAAAAAAAAGGCAACCAGGCTTGCTCTTGAAACTCACTGTCTTTTAGAAAGAAAAATTACACTCTCAACGCACAGCGAGTCCAAGAAAGGAGCAAAGTGGAACTTGGAAGTTTATTGAGACTCTGCCTAAGGTTCCAGTGGCGAGGCTACGTCGAAGGAGGAGTAGCCCCTGTACCTACAGGACAAAAGCTCCAAGCCTTGCACCAGGCACGTTCCCTGCAGCTGCCTCAGACTGTCATCAGTCGTATGAAACAGGTTTGGTCTGAACCTTCCACGTTATCGTTTATAAGGAGGGAGGGGAAAAATTACAGATGGAGTTTCGGGACTGGCTTGCATTAAACCTTTCTCCTGGCAGGCAGGGGAGTGCAGTATCCTCCCACCCGCCGAGCAGACCGCGTTCTGCACGGGGCCTGGTTGATCTCCAGAAGGCCAGAAGTCTGACGCAGTAGGTCACCTGGGACAACAGCCAAAAAGTGGGACAGAGGTGTTAGAATCCGTATTTGGCTTGAGTCTGACGTCGGCTGAGCTTGTTTTCAGACCATGTGTTTTTCAGTTCCAGTTCTCTTTCCTTTGCCTGCGGAAATTGAGAGGATTAACATCAGCGTTGCTGCTCACTGACTCAGCAGTATTTCACCCTCCTCTGCCCCTGCTGACGGGGATTACAGAGCACTTCAGCGAGATGCCTCATTACAGGAGTTAGCACAATTATCTTGACAGCAGCCTGAATTAATTGGGATGCACAGGCATTTCATTCATGCTGAAACACAGCTTCTCTTGTGGGACAGTCTCAGCAGCCACTTACTAACCACACGGCAGCGGTGTGGAATTAAGACAGGAAGCAGAGAGTCTTGTAACACATACAACCACACATGCACTGGAGCTGGGCAGGAGGGGAAGACCAAAGCAAAGCAAAAAGCAAGCCAGAAGCTCAGTGCCATGACACCCGCGGGGCCAAGGCACTGCTGTCACAAGGCTATTTGGGCCAGTAGTGGCCAGGACACTCCTGCCACCTCCACCCCCGTCAGAACCGCTGCAGGTCTCGCCCGGGGCTCGGCGTGCTCATTAGAGACAACCCCTGCTCCCCAGCTGCTGAAAAAGCAGCTCCACCAGCCCTGCCTGGTGCTGCCAAGCATCAAGCCTTGTAATTCTGCCTGGATGCCTTTCCACGCTAGAGGGAGGCCACTCACCTGATGGATCAGGTATGTGATCTGGTGTTTTCTCCTTTGCTGTCCCGTGGGCTGATCTCCTTTTTTCTAGAAAGCAAAACCAGGTGAACTGTTAAGTCTAGAAAGATACTGACCCAGACAGTGAAACAAGACAAGAGCTTGCACAAAGCCATTTGAAAAAGCATTTGTTTCCTATTAAATGGCTCTGGACAGATTTCTTAGGCTGAAGCAGTTCCTGGCTGGTCTTTACCACCTGCACGCTGGGACTGTGTTTTGACAAGCTCTACTGGTCTCTCACATGTATTTATACAACAAACAACACAAGGGTCCCTGTCTCCCCACCCTGGTGACTGCATAGCATCTAATACAGCTCCAGCTGTGGTTGAAATGGGAACTGAACAGAAGTCTCCAAAATCCTAGCCAGTGCTCCTCCCTTCCTGCCCGTACCTTGCTGAACGATTTCATGGTCTTCTCCTCTGTTAAGGATTTGGTCAGCCACTGCTGGGCTCCACTCAGCTGATCGTCACCTTTGATATCCACAAAGTTGATCTCTTCCCTCCCTCGATTCCGTTTGCCTTGCAGACGCTTGAACTGAAAGAAGAACAGAAACAACCGGAGTTACACACAACCTGAAACAAGTAAAGGTAGATAGGGTCTGAGCCTTGGGTTCCCCAGCAGGGGACAGGCCACATCAACAACCATTTTTCCAACCAAGATTTTTTTTCCTTTAGGAAAGTTCTGCTTTGCTATAGATCAGAATGTCTTAAACTACTTCACATGAAGGTTATAATCTTATCTTCCTGTGCATTTAAACAGCATTTACTCTTGCTTTCAGTCTTGCTCAGGGGAAGGCCCTCAGACTCCCGAGTCTCTCATTTTACATGCTAGGAAGGCACCTGAAGTTTTGCTGCTAGCACATCCACCTCCCCTAACACAAATCCACCTCTAAAGTAAAGAGGTCCCTCAAAGAAGTGAGCACCAGACAGGCTACTGTCTTCTGCAGCACTGACTGGCTCAGATAACAAGATAACAAGGCTGGCAGTTTCTGGGTTAGATCAACAATGGGAAAAGGATTTTTAAAACACGGTTTTGAGCATTTGAAATAAGTGGGGAATTCACTGCTATGCTAGAGAATGTACCGTGAAGGTATCTGAACAGTAGCTCACCTGCACCTCAGCAAGCAACATCTTCGCTCTACGCACCTTGTCTGCCCTAGATGCCCGTCATGAGAACGAGCTGGGGCTCGGTGGAAATAACAAACATCAGCTACTTATAAAACAAGCAAACCCATCTGGAGCAACAGCCCAACAGACTGCTGGAAGAACACCACACATGTCCACAACACAGCGCTAGACCCTATGGAACAACAACCCAGTCCAACTCGGCATGAAGCACAGGTCATGCTGGTCAGACAGGACCGTGGCTGCCAAGCGGGTCCTGTGTTCTAGCAGAGCTTAAATGCAAACTCCGCAGTGGGACAGACAGTAAAGTGCCAACCGCTTCATCATCTATGAAGGAGGAGTCGGTGCTCATCTCCTGCGGCGGTGCCTGGGCTGGTTCCATCTCCTGGTAGTACCCGCTGCTGTAGTAATCCTGTCAGCAAAAGGAAAACCAGTTTGTCATGAGAGCAAAGCAAGATCGATCCTGGAGTTATCACACACAGAGGTCTCAAGGCAGAGCACTGAATCGTGTACCTCGCCTCGTGAGCTGCTGCTTTTTCACCTAGAGGGATTTCACTCGGCCTCCAGGGAGTACAGTATGTTACACATGTACTTCCTCCCAGGGCTGACCAAAGTAGTCGTTAATCACATCTCATTACTCTAGCACTATTGAAGAGTACAGGGCATTTTTTTCAGAGGTACTCAACAACAAATACTTTGCTGAATTACTAGAAACAACCTGGCTTCAGACACCAGCTCTGGCGAGCCTCGATTCTGCACCCTGAGAACAACAGGGACAGTTGCGCAGGGGCATTTTAAATTGAGTGCAGCTATGAAACATTTATCCAGCAAAGAGCATCTACATCTTTCGTGCCAGAGGAATCTTGTTGTGCTAAGTGCTGTGGATCTCTGCTCCTTGTCCCAGCTAGCTCAGATGGGTTAGATTCCTACAAGGCACAGCCTGCTTCAGTAACTAATTTGGAGCCCCTCGTCCCAGACCCCTTTTCAGAGCTTCACCTCCCAGTCAGTGAACCCACCTGATAATAAGCACCAGCCACACCGGCCTCGCCATAGGCAGGGAACTGGCTGTATGGCTGGCTGCCATAGTCTTCTCCGGGTTTGGGCACCCAGCTGTGCTGAGCACCACTGGAGCCCGCACCCGTCTTGAACTCCAGCGGGGCATTAGCAGCAGCATCCTGGAACTGGGGCTCTGTCTCTGTCCCAGGAGGTGGGTCCTCCGACACCACCGTGCCAGAGTACATGTATGTCTCAGCACCCACAATGCTGGGCTCGCTCCGGTCAGACAAGGAGAAGTAGTTCTCTGGCTCGACCTCTTCATCACTGTCATCCTCTTCCTGCGTGATCTGCTTCGTTACCTGCAGGGCAGCGCTCTTCGCAGCAGCTTTGATGGCAGACGGAGAAGGAGTTGTGGGCACCGCTGGCTTGGACAGAGGTTTTGCTTTGGAGGAAGAGGTTGGGCCCTTAGCAGGCTTTGGGTCGGAGGCGTTTTCTCCCGCTTTCCTCGAGAAAGCGTAGGGCAAAAGTAACCGATTGGTCTCTTTCGCTGTCAAATTTTTGGGTTGAGGAAGCAAAGCGGACAAGCCAGAGCCCTCGCCACGTCCCTGGTGAGTTTCATGCAGGGCAAATGGTTCACAGAAATAAGAGAAATGAGTGAGACTATTTAGTTTTCCTGACTCCCTGCCAATTATCTCCTCCAATTCTAACAACATTAATGGGTTTCCCATTGCTTAGCACAATCGTTTGCTACTTCAAACATGCTGCAGGGCTTTCTTGTACAAAAGGCCAGTGGGACTTCTAAGGGAAATGTGGTACTTGCAAATATCTGCCAACTACCCAAATTAATGACTGTTTTTCTGAGATTTAAATTTATGAAACTGCCCAAAAAAAGAAGGACTTGACACCCCTGGGGATTTCAGGAATTTTCTATGCTACAAGCCATGCGCTAATCAGAGTGGCTGATTTACACCAGTGGAAGCCCAAGTTCTGTCACAGTCAAATGCTTCCTTCCTGTGAAACTTGTTTAATTTAATATCCTATGTATTTACCTGAAGAGTATTTTTCTTCTTTGTTGGTTCATCTTCCTCTGAATCTGACTGAGAAAGAAAAACAGAGCTTAGCACAACTTGAGATATTAAAGTAAAAGAAAAAAAGCCCACCCACTATGCAATTTATTAATTTTCAGTTTGAACCAGCTAAAGAATCACGGTAACACGGATTTGCCGAGAGCTGAGATAAAAAGCAACAGTGGGATGCGGTCAAGCTCTTTTTCACAGTCTTGCTGATGCATCTGTGTCAGGGCAAAGAGAGATAAAAGCCTGCCCTGGTTACCTACTATGAGAGATAAACTATCCACAGTGAAAGCAGGACCACAGTACTTGCTGCTATATTTAGAGATAGCTGGGTCTGCCACGAGCCGGGCAGAGGCAGAAAAATAAGCTGCATTCTGCTGTAAAACCTGAAGCTTTGCAAACAAGTCAGCATCTCCTCTTAAAAACCTTGTAAGAGCAATCCATCCGTAGCCAAACAATAATCTCCCACTTGAGCTCATTTATGCAACTTATGGAACAAATAAACAAAGACCAGGAAAAAAAAAAAAAAAAGGATTTGCTAATCCAAAATTCCAAATTTTCAAGGCAGCTTTTTAATGCTGTTCTAAAGCAGAGTGGGCGGGAAGAGAAACTCAGCTTCTACGTAATTGGCTCCTGCCAGAAATTAGCATTTAGAAAGCCAACAGCTCAAGCATTTTTATTTTTTTTTTAATAAATCACGTGAAAATGAACCTAAAGCAAGGCAAAGAACAGAAGCTGCACAGCATAAGGTCACTGCTCCCTTTCAAGGTAACAGACAACATTACATTAACAAAATCACACAAAGCAAGGGTGTAAAAATTCACTGTGGGGATTAACAGGGAATTGTTCACAGTAATGCTGGAGTTGCTAAATATCCATTTAAAACTTGAGTAGAAAGTCTGGTCATCTCTGGCATCAGAAAAGGCCCTTAACATCTTTATCGTTTTATAGCTTTGCAGAGCACTTTAAAGAGATTACAGGAAACAAGGTCTTCTGCCAGTTTACTATCTAAATTATAAAACAGGACAAAGACAAAGAACATGCATAAATAAAGCCAAGTCAAGAGTTGCCATAAAACCCGCATGTTGCATTTGGGAGAGAGGAGATAAAGCAGACTGCCCAGGAGTGTCTCCACAGGTGCAAACAAAAGGGACAGGAGGTGTTTTAAGGAGAAAGAGGGGAGGAGCGAGGACATCAGCCACAGGCCAAGGGACTTCCAGGAATCCCAAATGGGAACCGCTCGGACCAGCTCTGGTTTTAAGGTACTTTTTCTCCCTTCAGCATTCATTCACTCGCCTGACACTGACAACCTGCAGCATTTCTGTTCAAAGCCAATGCACTGGAACACAGAGGGGGAGATAAAGGGGAGAAACAAATCTCCTTTAATTTGAGCTTATTTCAGTAACTGTACAACTGGTGAGGAAGCGAAGAACCCTAACACTTGCTTTATTATGAAGTGCCCATTCCAAAGCACTGCAAGAAAGTGAGTAAGCAAAAAGCGGGTATGAGAGAATGGGATATCCCTCATCTGTTTGCCTAAAAGGGGAACCCATGCGTCCCACTGCCCGGTGCACCTCTGCCATGTTTGGGAGCTGCGGCATGAGGAGCTCAGTCTCTGGCATTTGCCAAACTGGACTGGTTATCGGCAAGCAGCGGAGTGTGGTTCAGGGATGGCCAGGAAGCCCACATCCTCTCATCCGCTCTCCCCATGCCCCCACAGACTTGCTCTTCCAGCAAAGCGAGATGCACTGACTTTGCTTTAGCTCCCCCAGGCCCAAGATGCTGGCAGACCACTATTAATTGATGCTGTTTATAAATCCATACAGTTAAACCTCTTCCTTGAGCTACCTGTCCCCATGGAAATGACCCTAAAGCTTCACAGTTCAGCTCTTCCTACAGCCCGAGGCACTCACATCCCGCCAGAGCCAGCGACTGAGGCCAGAAACGGCCACAACCACACGAGCTATGACAGTGCTATCCCAGAGCAAATGAGCAGAAGGGAGAGAAGGAAAGCTGATCAATAGGGACACCCAGAAAAAAAAAGGGGGACAAGGACCTGCCTTTCCCTGCTCTCGCCATGGGGTTGTCCGGATTCAGTGCTCAGGAGCCCCTTAAGGCACAAGGCACTGCAAACACAAAAAAGCATAAGCTAAGAGGGAAGTGATTACCTAAAGGTCCAGAGGACATCTGATGCCTTTAGCTAAAGAAGCAACAGATTGACAGGAAAATCTATCAATTGCACAGCGAACAACAGAAGAATTTTTTTGGGATACCCCCATGCAAGGCCATACAGCTCCACATCATCAACTTGTTAACTTCAGTAATAAATAAGGGTGCAGATAATCCGGGTTTTGCTGTATTACGATTATAAATAAGGTTTCTATATCAGTTTAATTCTGCAAAGCGCTTTAGGATTAGGGCTGGCAGCTGGGACAAATCTCCCTGTAGATGCCACAATAATTGGTTTTGGTACCTTGCTATATTATGATGGGAGAGAGCGAGGAAAGAGATGCTGTGCTTTCTGGGCAAACAAATCCACACGGGATTGCTCTGGGGAGAGGATGTCACGCACTAAGGTGCTCCTTCTCAGGAGGGCTTGAGCTGCTCCCCCCCCTCCCCCCTCCGCCCCCAGCAATGCTGGTGGTTTATTTCATACTCACATCTCCCTTGTGCAACTCGGGCACCGCGATCCGCACCGGCTCTGTCCTCTTCTTTGGCTTGGGGAGGCTCAAATCCACCCCAGCCCCGGGCAGAGCACCAGAGGCCGAGACAGGAGGGGGCAAGTTGAGGGTAGAGGCAGCGGTCGTGGTGGTAGCGTTCCTCGGGGGAGGCAGGAGGAGCCCCCCCAGCCTGGGCTGCTCCCCGCTACCGTCCCCGCTGGCGGCCAGCTCAGGCAGGCTGACGGTCGAGGCCTGGGCCGGGCTCATGCCCGGCGGAGGGGTGCTGAAGCCCCTCATACCAGGCGGGGGGCCCATAAGGAAAGGGGGGGGCGGCGGCAAGGGGAAGCCGCTGCCCAGGGGCTGGTGAGGCGGGGGCAGCGGGGGCATCACGGGGGCTTTGGGGGGAGGCAAGGTGGCGAAGAGCCCCCGGACCGGGGGCTGCTGGGCTGCGGCAGGAGGCGGAGCGGCGGTTTCTTCCTCCTCGCCCGCGGCCTCCTCCGCATCGCTCTCCTCTTCGCTGCTGGCATAGGCCACCAGGGACATGGCCCTCCGAGGAGGGCCGGCCTCCGCGGGGCGGAGG